GGAGGTTTCTCAAAATATTAAAATAGAACTACCATATCGTTCATCTTTCCACTGTCCACTTTTAGATATACACCCAAAAGAATTGAACTCAGAATCTGAAAGAGATGTCTGCACTCCCATGTTCATTGCATCATCATTCACAATAGCTGTGATGTGGAAACAACTGAAATGTACATTGACAGATGATGGATACAGGAAATGTGGTATTGCTTGGCCAGTGTGGCTCAGTGGATTGAGCATCATCCCATGGATTAAGACATCCCAGTTCAATTCCTGTTCAAGGCACATAACCAGGTTGTGGGCTCGATCCCCAGCGGAGGGCTAGCAGGAGGCAGCTAATTGATGTTTCTCTCTCACATTGGTGTTTCTATCTCATTCCCCCTTCCTTTCTCTCTAAAAAAAATCAATAAAGACATATTTAAAAAAAGAAAATGTAGTATTACTTACAATGGAATATCATTCAGCCTTTAAAAAAGAAAGAAATTATGCCATATGCAACAACATTGATAAATCTGAAGGACATTATGCTAAGTAAAATAAGCCAGTCACAGTAGGATAAATACCATACTGTTCCATTTATATGCAGTATCTAAAATCATCAAACTCATAGACACAGAGTAGAGTGGGGGAGGCAAAAGTGAGAATTGTTCATTGGATAAAAAGGGTCAGTTACATAAGATAAATGCATTCCATAGATCTGTTGTACAACGTGTTGTCTATAGGTAACAATACTTTATTGTGTACTTAAACATTTGTTAAGAGGGTCAATCTCATGTTAAATGTTCTTACCACCAAGAAACACACACACACACACACACACACACACACACACAAAATGTGGTATCACAAATGACAAGAGACAAGGTACATTTTCAAATTTCAGAGGAAATCTAAAATTTTTTTAATGTTCACTGTATTGATCAATGGCTTAATAGCAACTGGCGTCAGTGGTGGAGGGCAAAGCAGGATTGGAAAGAGCAAAAGGTTGAGAAAAATTGGAAGCAGCCCTGGCTGGTTTGGCTCAGCTGTCGGAGTGTCAGCCTGCGGACCAGAGTCCTGGGATCGGTTCCTGCTAGGGGTATGTACCAAAACAAACAAACAAACAAAAAAAATTTAAAGTAGTAGATAACTTTTTAAAGAATGATGGCCACTGTTATAAATTTTGTTTAACACACATATATCTATTATATATAATATATATTTTATTTTAAAATATTTTTCTCATCTGAAATTTAAGAAGAAACTGGATTTTCCCATTAATAAACACATGATTTCTTTTCTATATAGATTCCCTAAGTCAAAGTCTAAAACTATGGTAGAAGTAGGTGTTCCAGGTAGGTTTTTGGAGTACCTTGGCTTTGTCTATGTTTCTGATTTATCTTAGTTTTTAAAGCAAATAGGTAGCTTTTGGACACTTACTACTTACTATAGAGTTTACAAAATCCTTCACATTTATCAATTCATTCAATATTCACAAAAACATAAAAGATGCACCATTTTTATTTGATTTTACAGTGGAAAAAATTGAGGCTTAAACAGAGTATGGATGTTGCCCAGGTTCTCATAAGTAAATTACTTAGAAGTTAAGTGCTCATCTTATCCTTTCACAAAACTTGAGTTCTTATTTAAATGAACCAAGGCTTGTGGCCTTTTTGTGTTTTCTGTACTGTAGCCTACTTTTGGCTTCATGAAAATAGTCTGATTGGTATACATGCAGTATGGTTCCTTCAGAAATACAGATAATTAAAATATATATAATTTTAACCATCAATATAATTTTTCTAGCTCATAACATTCTGAGAAAAACAGGAAGGAAAACATTACAGTTTTCAGTTATCCCTAGAGGTTCAATTTCAGACCCAAAGGAAGCTAGAAACTAATAAATCATCCAAACAACTACTGAATGAGCTCATAAAGAGCCAAGATCATAGCTAAGGAGGTGAGTCACATTGAGTTTATATGCAGTATGTATACTGAGCGGATCCCCAACCCTCCACTCTAACCTCCGTGAGCTGTCAAGATAATACCTCTAATATCGTCACTGCATTTTTCGCTCTCATACTCTCTGCTTTTGAGTACTTTATAAAGAGTATCTATTTGTACTTTTACTACTTAATCAGTTTTCAATTCTTTTAATTTCTGATTGTTTGAGTTTACAGAGCCTAAAGTACTTAATCTATATAGGTACTTTATATAGAATATAGAGTGGGGTATATAATAAAATGGGTAAGTCATAGTAGATTATTTTGATGTATTTTAAAGCTGTGGAACATGCACAAAATTGAGGCACAAAAAATAATATTGTTTCCTTTATGAATTACACATTTATATGTGCATAAGAACAACAATGGCCACAGAAACACTGAAGTATTAGTGTTGCCTCAGGATATTTTTTTTTTCCAGATACCATTTAACTTTTAACCAATATCCTCTCTTACTTTCTAAAATTACAAAGCAAAAGAGCTGGTAAGAAGACTATTCTGAGAGTAAAAAGACTGGGCAAACATTGCATGTCATTAGAGAGCTAAGGTGTCCTTTTTACCCACAAGATGACATGATTCAAGGTGAGAAGACACCAGTGATCACTTTTCCTCAACACTTGCGGGGACCATGGAAAGTATCATTTTTATTCTTCAACTTGCAACAAAATATGCCAGAATAAATGGCTGAAGCTAATACCACTTATGTCACTGAATTTATCCTCAAGGGAATTACAGACCAGCCAGAACTTCAGGCCCCATGCTTCGTGGTGTTTTTAGCCATCTATCTGATCACAGTGTTGGGTAACCTTGGATTGATAACCTTAATCAGGATTGATGCCCGACTCCACACACCTATGTATTATTTCCTCAGTCACTTGGCCTTTGTTGACCTCTGTTACTCTTCTGCTGTCACCCCGAAGATGATGGTAAATTTTGTGGTGAAATATAACATTATTTCTTTCCATGCTTGTGCAGTACAACTGGGTTGTTTTCTCACCTTCATGATCACCGAGTGTTTCCTCTTAGCTTCCATGGCCTATGATCGCTATGTCGCCATTTGCAGTCCCCTGCATTATTCAACTGTGATGTCAAAAAGAGTCTGTGTTCAACTGGTGGCAATTCCATACATATACAGCCTTCTGGTTGCTCTGTTCCATACTATTATCACCTTCTGCCTAACTTACTGTGGCCCCAATGTCATTAACCATTTCTACTGTGATGACATCCCCCTCCTGGCTCTGTCCTGCTCAGACACACACGTGAAGGAGATTCTGATCTTTGCCTTTGCTGGCTTTGATATGATCTGTTCTTCTTCCATTGTCCTCACCTCCTACATCTTTATCATTGCTAACATCCTAAGGATCCGCTCTACCCAGGGACGACTCAAGGCCATTTCTACCTGCGGCTCCCACATGGTGACTGTTACTATTTTCTATGGCACCCTGATCTTTATGTACCTGCAGCCCAAATCAAACCACTCCCTGGACACAGACAAAATGGCATCTGTGTTTTACACAGTGGTGATCCCCATGTTGAACCCCCTCATCTATAGTCTAAGGAACAAAGACGTAAAAGATGCCTCCAAAAAAGTCTTGAAAAAAGGTTGTGATACCTTAAAGACGTTAAAATTACGACAATAACAGTAACAAATGCTTTATTAAATTCAAAAGGGAAAGAAATCAAGCTTTCTTTTGCTAATATTTTAAGTAATTCTTTCCCAATCAACCAAAAATGTGACTGTTACTGCGGCAGAACTTGACATTTTTTTTTTTTTTTTATCCTCACCCGAGGACATTTTTCCATTTTTTGCACAGACAGAGTGGGAGGGAGAGAGAGGAAGAGAGAGAGAGGGAAACATCGATGAGAAAGGGACACATCGAGTGGCTGCCACCCGCACGACCAACCAGGGCCGGGGACAAACTGCAATTGAGGTACATGCCCTTAGCGGGAACTGAACCCGGTCTCTCCAGACCGCAGGTGGACGCTCTAACCACTGAGCCAAACCGGCCAGGGCTGAACTTGACATTTTCTACAAGGACCTAGGCCAGTCCTGGAAAGTAGTGTGATTCAAGTCCCATTCAGCTTTCAGAGACCACTGAAATTATGTTCAAACACAAACACACTTGCAAATATATACATGAGTATCCCAAGCAAAGGCAGTGGCCACTTTCTGTTAGAACTCTGGACTGTGGACCCAAGACTGGCTGGGTTTGAATTCCATCATCTTCCTTTATTAGCTGTGCAACCTTGGACAATTGGCCTGAAATCTGTGACTCTCTTTCCAATTTTAAGAAATAACAGGACCCAATTTATTGGTTTCTTTTGAGGATTAAACAAATTAACATTTATAAAATGTTTAGAAAGATATCCTGTGATAATAAGTGATATGTAAATGTTTGTGGTATAAACGTGGTATAGAATTAAAGATGAATTCATTGAGCACTTAAAAGCTTATTGGTCTTTAAGTAAAGATGAACCTAGTTAGGTTTCTACAACCTGCCAGGCACTTAATCAAGTAGTCTTACTTAACAAAATTAAACTAAACTAGAAGTGTGTGAGGTTTCACTTATGGGCTTCAATTATTTATAAATGCCTAAGGTCGTATAACTAGTTGTATGAAAATTCTAAATGCAAATCAAGGTTATCTGAATTTTGTTTTTCTGACACTGTAGGTTTTAAGAATAAGGGGTATTATAATATAGATTATATAGACTTACATCTGATCATCACTTTCATATTTTTAAAATATAACTTAAAGAACATAGTTATTTCTCTTTGTTGAAATAGAAATAATTGTGCCTGTTATTTATTCAATCACCCTTATAGAATTATGGCATACAATTTAAAAATCATGTGATTTGGTATGCTTTTATTTTGATATATCATAAAAGATAATCAAATTCATGATTTAATGTTATTTTATTTTATCATTTTAGAAGGAGATTGTGATAGTTTCAGCCATTGTATAGAGGACAGTGTGAGGTTTGCAATACAAGATAATTATTTCCTCTTCTGCACTTACTTTGTAAGTAACTGAGACATGCTGCCTGTAGGTACTTTTAGAACTTTGTGAGTTGAATAAATTCTCAGGTGTTTAAAGCAGTTTTGACAGAGAAACATGATGTTTCTATTCACCACAGTTTGTTTCCTGAATGTATGTTTATATGGACAGATAAACACACCTATTTTCACATATCACATATATGACAAATAGAAGCATCATAGACAGTCTCTTTTTTTACAGGTAAATAAATTCACACTTGTAGGATTTTGGTGCTTCACCTGACAAACACAGCTCTTCTGGAGTTTCTCTGCACCGTTCTGCTTCATAAAATGAGGAACACCAGTACTAGACACTAATTAAATGAAGTTTTCGCATCTTGACACAATTTTAACTCCTTACTATTAGTAATCATTTCCTAAGTTAAATCTGGCTTTTCTCAGGGAACAAGAAATTCAGTGCACCTGATAGACATGTTATTCAGCTTCTTCCTGGGCAGCTGCACACAGTACTGTGCAACCTCTAGTACTCCAGCCATTGCTCCAGATGGTTGGGCTCACCTCTTGAAACACTGAACAAGTGACAATTTTACTTCTTCATTCCCAATTTGGTTGCCTTTTATATCTTTCTCTTGCCTGATTGCTGTGGCTATAACTCCCAGTAGTATGTTAAATAAGAGTGGTGAGAGTGGACATCCTTGTATTCCTGATTTTAGAGGAAAAGCTTTTAGTTTTTCACCATTGAGTGTGATATTTAGCTGAGGTGTTGGAAGAAAGACACACAGAACAGTGGGACAGAATTGAGAGCCCAGAAATAAACCCACGTGTGTATGGGCAAATAATCTTTGACAAGGAGGCAAAAAAAAAAAAAAAAAAATGCATGGGAGGAAAGAAAGCTTCTTCAATAAATGGTGCTGGGAAAATTGGAAAGCCACATGCAAGAAAATAAAACTAGACTATAGTTTTTCCCCATATACAAAATTTTAATTAAAATAGATCAAGACCTAAATATAAGATCCGAAATAATGAATAACAAGGAAGAAACAAGGGTACTAAACTTAAGGACCTTGGTGTTAGAGAACATTTTATTAATTTGACAACAAAGTCAAGGAAAGAAAAGGTGAAAATAAATGAATGGGTCTGTATAAAACTTTAAAGCTTCTGCACAACAGAAAAATAGTCAACAAAACCAAAAGGCAACTAACTGAATGGGAGAAGATATTTGCAAACAACAGCTCTGACAAGGGGTTAGTATACAAAATATGTAAAGAACTCATACAACTCAACACCTAACAAACAAATTATTCAAATTAAAAATGGATTGAGGACCTGAGCAGACACTCTCAAGAGGACATGCAAATAGCCTACAGATATATGAAAAGATGCTCAACTTCACTAGCTACTAGAAAAATGCAAATCAAAATTACAATGAGCTATCACCTCACACCTGTTTGAATGGCTACTACCAATAAGACAAGCAATAACAAGTGTTTGAGTGGTGGTGGAGGAAAAAGAAGCCCTCATTCACTGCTATTAGGCATGTAAACTGGTAGAGCCACTATGGAAAACAGTATGGAAGCTTCTAAAAAAAATTAAGAATAGAGTTAGCATGTGACCCAACAACCCTTTTTTGGATATCTATCCACAACATTTGAAAACATTTATTTGCCAAGTCATATCCACTCCTATGTTCACTGAAGCATTATTCATGGTGGCCAAGACCTGTAAACAACTGAAGTGTCCTTTGATAGGTGATTGAATAAAGAAGATGTGGTACATATATCCACCGCAGACCTTAGTGGCCTAAGCAATGATTATTTATTATCTCTAATGATTCTGTAGGCTAACTAGACAGTCCTTTTCCACATGGTAGAAGCTGGGGTGGTAGTATGGTTTTTTGGACCATCATGACCTCACTCACATGGCTGACACTGGGTAAAGCCATCAGCTGGAGTGCTTTTGTTTTGTTGTGTTGTGTTTTGTTTTGTTTTTTAATCCTTACCCAAGGCTATTTTTTCATTCATCTTCCAACAGAGTTGGAGGCTGGGGGGTGGAGAGAGAGATAGAGAGAAAGATCAATGTGAGAGATACACATTGATTCGTTGCCTCCTGCATGACCCTGACCAAGGTCTGGACTGAACAACTGAGGTACATTGACTAGAATCAAACCTGCAACTCTTTGGTCCATAGGCCAACATTCTGACCACTGAGCAAAACTGGCCAGGGCATGGAGTACTTTGTGTTTTAATCCACATGACATTTCCATGTATCTAGCATGTGCTTCCAACAACATGGAGGTTAGGCTCGAACATTTAGCTTCCTCATGAAGAAAATGTATTCTTATGGAGAAAAAAGATCTAGTCATAGAAGTTATACAATGTAACATCACTTTTGAGCATTCTATTTTCTAAAGCAAGTACTAGGGCCAGGGTCCATAAGGGAGATAACTATACAAGTAAGTGAATGCAGGTAAAAAGATTCATTATAATTATTTCACTTGAGAATAATATATATATGGTAAATGGAATCAATAAAGTTTAGTTGCTTTATGATTATTATTTTTAAGAGTATGAACCACCCTACCCAGCCAGTATAGCTCAGTGGTTGAGTGTCGACCCATGCACCAAGAGGTCACTGGTTCGATTCACCATCAGGGCACATGCCCTGATGGTGGGCATGATCCCCAGTGCAGGGCATACAGGAGGCGGCCAGTCAATGTTCTCTCTCATTGATGTTTCTCTCTCTCTCTCCCTCTCCCTTTCTCGCTCTCTCTTATATCAATAAAGGAAAAAAAGAATATAAACCAACTTATCATTATTTTCTTATAATCAGAGGTTTTGTTTTATTTTGTCCTATAATCATCTGACCTAAGTAAAAAAAAAATCTTACAGTAATTATTTCCCAAACTTGACATCAAATGTTTTATTCTCTATATTAATTTTCTTAACCTTAGTTTCTCTACAAAAAAGAAAGAAAGAAAGAAAAAAATTAAATTACTTTACAGCAGACTTCTTCAGGATTTTGTGAACTCTTATCTTTCAAAGTGTTGTCCATCAGACTGGAGAACATTATACCAAGTCAAATAAACAAAACACAGAAGGACAATACTACATGATCTCATTTACATGTGGAGTTTCATGCAGCTGAACTCTTAGAAACAAAGGGTAGAATGGTAGTTGCCAAAGGCTGGGGGTGGGAAAGAGGAAATGTTGATCAAGGCATTCAAAGCTTCAGTTATATATGATGAATAAGAACTGGAGATACAATGTGCAGCAATGTGATTCTACCATATGCTAGTAGAAAAAGAAACAAATAAAAAAAATTAACATCAGTTGTCTATTGTGTGTTGGGTGTTATAGAATCTACCAACACATAATTCCAGGCTAGCACAATAGCAATCCAATGGCAGTGATTCATTTACAACCTGGTTGAAATGGCATTTGCAAATTATGTGAACAAGTGGTCCAGATTTTTATATCATGTATTTCTGCTGCACAGATTCCTTTCTGTCAGCACATGCTGTGGTTTCACAGGTTAGAGTTTCCAACTGACAGAATTCCAAATAAGATTTGGGCCTTGTGCAAAGGAGGGGTGCCACATTATATACAAAATAGAATTGGACTTTCACCTGATTATGGTCCTACTAAGAGGTGGCCCTGAAGGATACTGGTGAAAGCAAATTGTTCCAGTGGATAGAATATTTAACTTTCTCCTTCATATAGAGAAATTGTGACCTGAAGGAATGGATATACACCAGCAATTTTCAACCAGTGTGCCACAAGAATTACTAAAACATGCAATACAGCCCCTCCGTTGTGGCTCAGTGTTTGAGCATTGACCCATGCACCAAGAGGTCACCAGTTCAATTCCCAGTCAGGGCACATGCTCAGATTGTAGGCCAAATCCCTAGTGGGGGCATGCAGTAGGCAGTCAATCAATGTTCTCTCTCATTGATGTTTCTATTTGTCTCTCCCTCTACCTTCCTCTCTCTCTAAAATCAATAAAGAAAAAACAAACAAACAAACAAACAAAAAACATGCAATACCTGACTATTTAGTCAGGGGCTCTGTTCTCTTTTCCCTTTGATTGTCAAATAGAAAAATGACAACAGCCAACACAACAATAGCTGTCCAGTGTGAATGAGTCAAAATTATACCTTTTTTTTTTTTTGGTAAGATCAGCAAAAGATATATATTTTTGTTGTGTCCCTTATATTTACTAATTAGTTACCATGTACCGTAAGATAAAAAAGGTTGAAAATTGCTGATATGCACTGATTCATTGACAGTAATAGTGTTGGATAGTTGGTTAGGGTACTGGGAGTAACAAGTCTCCAAGAACATGGCATTCTAGGGGGAAGAATTTTAGATGACCTGGTAGGAGTGGACACAAAGCATGCTGATTTCATTCTTTAACTACTAAAGGGTAACCACAGTCTGGCCGGTGTGGCTCAGTGGTTGAGCATTGACCCATGCACCAAGAGGTTGCTGGTTCGATTCCCAGTCAGGGCACATGCTGAGGTTGTGGGTCAGATCCCCAGTGAGGGGCATGCAGGAGGAGGCCAGTCGATGTTCTCTCTCATTGATTTTCTCTCTCTCTCCCTCTCCCTTCCTCTCTCTCTAAAAAGAAGAAAAACAAAATGTAAAAATAAATAAATAAAGGACAACTGTAGCAGAGGAGGTCTGCAACAATGAGGAGGATCAGAGAACCTGTTATACAGATAACAGCCACCCTCTCTCCTTTCTTGCAATCCTAGGGCTTATGTAATGACAACATGAGTAGAGTAGCCACAGTGTCAATAATGAAGCCTATTCATGTACCCAATGACATGAGCCCCCTTCTACTATCAATGTTGTGGCCCATTTGTTAGAAACAGAGATCGATTCTGAATCCTAAATATGCCACCATGTCTTTGAGAGGCAAATCAGAATCACAGTGATAAGTTAATTATATCAGACTTCTTCAATATGAGAGGGAACAGGGGAAGAACAACTTGTACTTACCAAAATCAATAGGTTAATAAGGATTTTCCTTCCCAGCTGGCAGTGTCTGAGGAAGTATCACCTTTCTGCAATTTAAAACACTTTGTTCTTTAGAATAGTAAGTCATTCAATATTGCTTCAGAAGACAAAATACATTTCATGGCAATGAAAGTTTAACATGACCATGGCATATAATGAATGATCATGACATGTTTCTTATCATCAACAATCAGCTGCTTGGATAGAAAACTCAATGACATGTTGACAACTTAGCTAAGTCACCAGCTCAGAAAATGAACTTCTGACATTGGAGCACTAGCGTCCATGACACACTATAGGTTATGAACCAATGACAGTATAGGGTCTGGAAACAAAGAAGTTGTAATAAGATTGGCTGTTATTATTATTATACCTCATTAATAAATTTTTAAATGTGTGTCTCCTATCTTACAATGTTAGGCTCTTCTGGGTTATAGGTTTGGGATTACTGAGAGCAGATATTTCCACCAAGGTCTCAATTAGTGTTTTGATAAACTGGAATCTGTGAGTCCTTCATGGCAGTGGACCAGAAGGCAAGGAATGAAGTAGTGTGCTGACTAAGGTAATCAACTCTGCTAAATGTAAGAAGTTAGGGGAGCCAATGTACAACGGAGCCAGGAAAAGTATGTCTGAAACACAGAAATTCACAGGACATCTTTAGAACTACCATGTCTAATGATACTGTCACTATCAATGGGCAACTTCAAAAACTAAATTAACAAAGACTGGGCAATTAGGTTCTCAGTAACCAAGTAGAATAAAGTTTGTACCACTCCAGCCAGAAGTAATCAGTACAGCTAAAGTGCTGGCTGAATGTGAGGACATTCTAGAAGAGGTAGGGCTTGAATGATCAAGTTAAAATGTTCAACCAACATAGTTCATCAGTTGTTTGGGATAGTAAACATACTCTTACCATACAATCCAGCAATTGTTCTCCAAACAAGTTGAAAATATATCCAGACAAACATCTGCGCATAGGTATTTATAAAAGTTTTATTAATAATTGTCAAAACTTGGAAGCAACCAAGATGTCCTTCAGTAGAGGAATAAATAAATAAACTATGATACATCCAGAGAATGGAATATTATTCAGTACAAAGAGGAAATGAGCTATTAAGCCTTGAAAAGATATGGAGGAAGCTTAAGTGCATATTGCTACATGGAAAAAAAAAGGGGGGGCTACATACTGTATACATTTAACTCTGTGACATTCTGGGAAAGGCAAAACAATGAAGACAATAAAAAGATCAGTGGTTGCCAGGGCTGAGGATGGTAGGGACAAATAAATAGAGCACAGAATATTTTTAGGTCAGTAAATATATACTGAATAATATTACAGTAATAGATATAAGTCATTATACATTTTTTCAAACTCATGGAATTTACAATATGAATGAACCCTTAGATAAACTTGGGTAGTTATGATGTGTTGATGTAAGTTCATCAATTACAACAAATATTCCATATGCTTGTGAACAATGTTGATAATGGGGAGACTATGAATGTGTGATAGCAGGGGTATATGACAAATCTCTGTATCTTCTATCAATTCTGTTGCAAATCAAACCAGCTCTTAAAAAAGGAAGTCTTTAAAAAAATGTTCAATCATATTAATAGGGACCTTGTAAAGTGAAAAGTAAGGTCACTTTCCTGGTATTTTAAAATTAAATATTTCAGCGAAGCATCTTGTAATCCCCCCCCCCCCCAATACAACTATGGAGGAAAATCTTACCTGGTATCTGCAATATCATTTACATAGTTCATGTCTTTTGGACAACCTCAAATTCTCAATATTAGTGAAAAAACATAAAGTGATGATTATACGATACTTTATTCTTCATCTCCATTGTTGAAACACCTCATGGCCAAAAAGAGCAGATGATTTTTACCTTGTTTTTACAATTTAACATTTAAACAGGCAAACACTGACGAAATATCTACTATGTGTAGGCAAAACCAATAAAATATCTATTTTCATGGAAATATAGATCAGGAAACTAAATCCCAGAGGACAAAGGCTCCTGTACTTAATGACATAGTACTACTGTACAAGCTTTGATTTTAAATATATATAATACATACTTTACATATCTATCACTTCATTAGCAACAACAAAATTTATTGCTAATTACTAGAATATACCTCTCAATAATTTTTTCAAAGCATTTTTTACCTCCTGATTCCTCAAGCTGTAGATTAAAGGGTTTAGCAAAGGAATGACTACTGTATAGAATATTGAGGCAAATTTGTCTTTATCTAACGAGTGACTTGACTTGGGCTGAAGGTACATAAAAATGAGGGTCCCATAATACATGGTAATAGAAAACAGGTGAGAAGCACAGGTAGAAAAGGCTTTCTGTCTTCCTACAGCAGAATGGATCCTTAAGATGGCAAAGGCAATGAATACATAGGATATGAGAACAATGGTAAGAGAACAGAAAACATTGAACCCAGCAATGATTAACAACATCAACTCTTTGACTTGGGTGTCAGAACAGGCCAGAGCAATCAAGGGGACATCATCACAGTAAAACTGGTTGACCGAATTAGAGTCACAGAAAGACATGTGGAATGTCACCACTGCTTGTATGAGTCCCACAGTGAATCCATAGATATAAGAGCTAGTGACTATTTGGATGCAGAGTTTCCTGGGCATGAGAACTACATAGAGTAGAGGGTTGCAGATAGCCACATATCGATCATATGCCATGATAGACAGCATTAACAATTCCCAAACTGAAAATGTGATAAAGCAACACACTTGAGTGGCACATGCATAAAATGACATACTTTTAATTTCACGTAAGGAGATTACAAGTGTGTTTGGTGTGATGATGGAGGTACCACAGAAATCGACAAAAGCCAGATGAGAGAGGAAAAAATACATGGGTGTGTGAAGCTGAGGACTGACCTGAATTAGCACAATCAAACCCAGGTTACCCAAGGCAGTAACTAAGTACATCAGTAGGAATGCACAAAAGAGAATAACTTGAAGTTCTGGATTGTCTGTTAGGCCCAAGAGGATGAACTCAGTGACTGCTGAATGATTGCCTTTTGCCATGAAATAAACAATTCTAGAATAAACTCCTCTAGTACGCACGCTCTGAATAATCTTGACTCTATAAGATATAATCGAGTAAATGGATCACCAGGATGTTATGCTAAATTCAGTCAAAGCAGACTCTTAATAGGCACTCTGAATTATGTGTGGATTTTACTTGTGCTTTTGACATGAAAGGATTTAGTCCAGGCAGAAATTCCAAGATAGAAAATCCACTGTAAAAAAAAAAAAGTATTTTAATTAAAATGTTATAATCGATAGAATAGCAAAGTCTGTGTTGTACTTTTTTTTAACTGCAAAGAAAAAAAAGGAACATTAAAAATGTATGTGATTTTGAAAGCATATATAAAAATGATTTATTGAGTTGTAAGTTTATCTCATAAAATTATCATTTCATAAGAACATTAAAAATTACTAAAATTGTGTGGAAGATGTAAAATAAAGTTATAATAAATAGCACCAACAAAGGGTTAATATCCAAAATATATATAAAAAAAACTTATACAACTCAACACCAAACAAGCAGAAATCCAATTAAAAAATAGGGAGAGGACCTGAATAGACATTTTTCCCAAGAAGACATACAAATGGCCAACAGATATATGAAAAGATACTCAACTTCACTAGCTATTAAGGAAATACAAATCAAAACTATAATGCGGTACTATAACATACCTGTTAGAATAGCTATTATCAACAAGATATGTAATAAGTATTGAAGAGGTTGTGGAGAAAAAGGAACCCTCATTCACTGCTGGTGGAATGCAAATTGGTACAGCCACTATGAAAAACAGCATAGAGGTTCCTTACAAACTTAAGAATGGAGTTACCATATTACCTAGTAACTCCTCTTCCAAAAACTTTGAAATATTTATTCACAAAGACATATGCACCCCTGTGTTTATTGCAGCATTATTCACTGTGGCTAAGACATGTGAACAACTGAAGTGTCCTTTGATAAATGATTGGATAAAGAAGGTATGATACATATATACAATGGAATACTTAGTCATAAGAAATGATGAAATACTGCTATTTGTGTCAACATAGATGGATCTTGAAGATATCATGTTAAAAGAAACAAGTCAGACAGAGAAAGTAAAAAAACAGATGATTTCACTCATATGTAGGATATGAAACTGAAGGAAACAAATGAGCAAACAAGAAAAACAAACAAAAACTCATAGACACAGACAACAGGATGGTGGTTATCAGAGGGAAGGGGTCAAATATATGGTGAGAAAAGAAAATTTGACTTTGGTTGGTGGGCACACAATGCAACGTCCATATATATATGGTATCATAGAATTGTACACTTGAAATCTATATAACCTTATTAACCGATGTCACCCCAATAAATTAAAAAAATATATTAACATTGTTTATCTTTAGGCACACTATTTGCTATAATTTAAATTATTTTTTCTTACTCATCTCCATTTTTTTTATAATTTTAAAAAAGTTTTAAATGTTTTTATTGATTTTTAGAGAGAGAGGAAGGAAGAGGGAAAGACAGAAATATCAATCAGAGAGAAACATTGATCGGCTGCTTCCTGCATGCCCTCTGCCAGGGATGGAGCCGGCAACTCGGGCGTGTGCCCTGACCAGGAATCAAACCAGTGATCTCTCAGTGCACAGGTTAAAACTCAACCACTGAGCCATACTGGCTGAGCTTCATTTCTATTTTTTAAAATTCACATATAACATTGATATTGAGGACAAATAGGATTGTGAATTTTCTGGCTATGTCTTTTGGCAAAATACACATCAGTGAAAAATTTTTTCAGATTGTAAAACAACTTTTAATGATAAAGAGACATCATTTTAGCCTCTATCCTCCAGTATGTAAATGGTCCAAAGTGAATAGTATTTGGACAATATTTAGAAGATCTATATTTCACAAGACATTTTATAAACCCAAGCTGGATTCTAAATGCTTAAAAGCTAGTGGAATTGAAATTATCTTCTCCTTTCATAAGCAGAGCAAAAGATAAGTTAACTTGATCTTCCTACATCCCTACATTGTATCAGGTAACTTCTCATGAACCTTGTAAATGGTTTAGACAGATAAAACATAATAAATATAAAAAGCATCACCCTTTCTTTCTTTCTTTTTTAAAAAATCCTCACTCGAGGACATTTTCCCATTTTTTGTTCAGGTAGAGTGGGAGGGAGAGAGGAACAGAGAGAGAGAGAGAGAAACATCGATGTGAAAGGAACACATCTAGTGGCTGCCACCCGCACAACCAACCAGGGCCGGGGACAAACTGCAACCGAGGTACGCGCCCCTAGCGGGAACCGAACCCGGGTCTCTCAGGACCGAAGGCCGACGCTCTAACCGCTGAGCCAAACCGACCAGGGTGCATCACCCTTTCTTAAATTTTGGTTGACATCTCACTGGAAACTTTATCTTGATTACACCTTTATCTTTTCTCTTTCTTTCACTACTTTTTAACCAAACATCTCAGAACAGACATCTACCCCCAATTTCTCAATCATATTTATAACTTAACCAAGGATAACCCACTTTCTTTTCCCATTAAACCCAGAAATCCCCTCACCAAGTTTACTACTTCCTTATTCCCAAATGCAATAAAGCCCTTTAATTTCCAGAACAAAGAAGTCTCTGAGTTTATTACTCATCCATTTAATTATGTACCTTGGAGGCTCTGCTTTTATTGTCCATGCATTAGACATGTTCTTCAAGCTCTTTCCAAAGCCCCCACTGTTTCTTCCTTTCACCTTCTGGTTCTGGATTCTATCCAATCCTATGTCTTCAATAGGCATATATATGCTGATTATGCATGAATATATATACTTCTATTTTAGATCTCTTTTATCCATTCCAGCTTTATATATCTAAGTGCTTCCCAGAAATGACCACTTGGATATTCCATATGTCCATCAAAAGTATCACATGCAGAAAAGAACTTGGTGTCTCCATTGGACCTAACACTGAAGACCTGGAGAATATATTTCTTTCTCAAAGAATAGCACCATTATCCATTCAGTTTTCCAAGTCAGAGTCCAATTAGTTTTTACTATACTTTTCTGTTCCTCATGCTAATATGCAATTTGTCTCCAATTTCTAAAAATTTTCTACCTTATACATTTTTCAAGTCTGTTCATCTTTATCGTTTCCTTGAACCAATCACAAGAGCTGTATGTTTTGTATTGCATCTGACTTGTAACTTTCATTTTTGCCTCTAGTCTTTCAAACTGCTCTCTGTTCCTCATATTTGTAAACTTTTACAGATGCAAACTTTTTTCTTATATTCTGATTAAATTCTTCAATGTTGTCCCATTGTCCTTAAGATAAATTCCAAGGTCTTTACTGAGGCTGACATAAATCTTGAAAATCTAGTTCCCTCATCTCAGATCAGGCTGATCTCTTCTGATATTCTTCATAGAGTTCCAAAGTGACAGATATTTCAAACTACTAAAATTACTCAACTGTGAGCCAGAATTTTATACATGCATTATTCTTGTCCCAGAACACTTTTATTTTGCCACCATTTTGTTTGCTGGGTTCTCTTTCTGCTTGATTTTCTGTGATCTGTTAAATCACTTCCTCTTGGAGGTTTTTATGACTTTTCAGACCAGGTTAAGAGTCCCTCATACATACTTCTTTTGCACCCCCTGATTCCTTTATCATAGCACTTGCCACGCTATGTTGCAACCAATTGTTAACATGTCTGTAACACATCCTAAACTCGAAACTCTTACTGTTAAGCAATAATATTTCTATTGTATACTCAATTAGTCTCCTATCTCTAACAGTATCTAGTACACAGAAGATGATTAACAGCTCTCTGTTAAATTATTAAGTGAATAAAATTTATAATTATATACTCTGTTATATATAATATTAGACATTTAACTTAGCTGGGGATTCAAACAATCATGATACTGACTGAAAATGCTCACAATACAGCAAGTTAAAAAGAGTAGCATGCTAAATAGGTTATATAGTGATAAAATATTTCTGTCTTTTCACATTACATGTTATGACCTAAAAATCATAAATTCACACAGAAAAAATACTCAAATCATATGTGCCAAATGTTTATAGTAGTTATGTCTATGAGGTGATATTGGGGTTGGTCTTTCCTTCCTTCCTCCTCTCTCCCTTCCTTCCTTCTTTTCCATTCATTTTAATTATCCATTCCATTATGCCCTGTATTCTATTTTGAGAAACTTGATTTCAATTTCATATATACTTTAATTTTATAATTGTTCTATGTTTATAAATATTGCCAACTTAACTTTTCATGTTGGTATTCCTATAACTTGTGCCCATATAGACGTTTAAAATATTCCTAATTATTGACCACTAAAAAATAATCTCACATTTTTGGGGGAAATGTTTTAGTATGATATGTTCCACAGGTGATCTAATTGGTTAGCAAGTTTGAAGTACTCTGAGGCTAGCCAAAGAACATATCTGCATATGTTCATAGCCCATGGACACAGACAACAATATGGTGAAGGCCGGCGGGGAGGCGGGTACAAGAATGCCTGAGTTGAGGGGGGCACGGGGGTGGGGTGGGGGACATCTATAAGAGTGTCAACAATAAACAAAAAGAAACCCTAGCCCTGGCTGGTTTAGCTCAGCACTTAGAGCGTCGGCCCATGGACCATTGAGTCTCGGATTTGATTCTGGTCAAGGGCATGTACCTCAGTTGCGGTTTGTCCCCCACCCTGGTTGGGGTCATGCGGGAATCAACCAGTCAATGTGTCTCACTCACATCGATGTTTCTCTCCCTCTCCCTTTCACTCCATCTGAACAAAAAAATGGAAAAATATCCTCGGGTGATGATTAAAAAAAAGAAAGAAAGAAACACTAAGCTGTTTATAATTACAAAAAAAAAAAAAACTTCTCCAATTGAAAACAAATATCTTCAAAAAATGACAAAACCAATTTATAAAAACATTATCAAATTTTAAGTAAAAATCATGACAATTTTTCTGCTATAGTAATAGTTACATAGCAAGTCTTC